TTACCAGTCATTTTTCTTGTCACGATATGGGTGGCTTCATTTTTGTCATATTGTTTGATGCTCAATACCTTCTGAGTCTTTGCTTAAAGGTCTTTAAAATGTACAAGTGTGTGTTTTTGCACAGTCTACAAGCCTTTGGCCACTTTCATTCCTTGATCCTGAACCACATTTGCCAACATCATTTTCACCTCTCTGTGCCTCCTCTGCTTTTACGTTCAAGGCACCAACCATCAAGGTTTATGTGAACTTGATTTGGAGGGTGTAGTCCTTCATAGAATTTCTCTACTTCATTATTTGCAGTACATGTGGCTGATTAGGGGGCAGCTAGGTGGTGAAGTAGATAGAGTGCCAGGCCTGGAGTCAGGAAGACTCCTCTTCCTGAGTTCATATCTGGCCTCAGACACTTAACTTGCTGTGTGACTCTGGGCAAGTCACTTCATCCTGTTTGCCTCAGTTTCCTCATCTGAAAAATGAGCTGGAGAAGGACGTGGCAAACCACTCCAATATCTCTGCCAAGAAAACCCCAGATGGGGTCATGAACTGAAAAACAACTGAATAACAATAATTGCTAATTAGGCAGCAATTGTCTTTACGAAGGTGTTTTTGCTCATGGAAATTAAAATGGATGAACCCTCTATGAGATGTGTGTATGATTAAACTAACTCTGCTCATTCCTTTATTTGGCTCCCCAAGGAGAGTTTGCGAGCCATTCTTCCGTTTGATGGTAATTTCCTGATGCCTGCTGGTTCTGTTTATATTAAATTTGTTCATTTGCTTGTACTTCAGCTCCTCCAGCCTCGTATGTCTTTGGACAAAGATTATTCATTAACAGCACCGACTGTTAAACTCACGTTTGCGGATATCCTTATTCCTGTGATCCCTACCATCCTTTCCCCTCTTGTGCCCCTTTCGTACGATTGCCAGAGCCAGAAGGGGCCCATCTAGAGCAGGAGGACATTCTATGCTCCTAACAGGGGTCTGACTAAGGCAATCCTACATTTCCCAGTGTGCCACGCAGCAAACACAAGCTCATTTGATCAGGAACTACACGTCCCAGAAAGCAATGGCTCATTGGAAAAGATTCTCAGGACTCCATTTTGCATGAGCCTGTGACAAAAGGCAATTTCTTCATGAGGCACAGACTCCGATTGGAACAAAGACAGTTCTGAGAAGAGGGACCTGCATGGATGAGATATTGAAATGACAGCACCCATGAGCCCAGGACTCCAGGCATGTTGCTGAGATGCCACAGAATAAGGAGGGACAGTTGCCAAGAGCAGAGGCAAGCTAGAGTAGCCTGATGTGTTTAGATGTAGTTTTCAAGCAAAGATGCCTGCACTGAAACCTACATCAACCTTCTTTTGGGGGGGGGTGTCTGTGACAGAGAGAGAGAGGAAGAGAGACAGAGACAGAGGCAGAGACAGAGACAAAGAAGCAGACAGAGACAAAGATGAAGAGGCAGTGGAGAGACAAAAGGGGAGAAGAGAGAGACTTACAGAAAGAAAGAAGAGAGTGGGAGGAGAGACAGAGTGGGAGAGAGATGTGGGAAACAGAGACAGACAGAGGCAGAAAGACAGAGACAGGGAAAAGAGAGAGAACTGAGATAGAGACAAGAGGATGAGGAAGAGACACAGACAGAAAGACAGTGAAACAGAGAGGGAGAAAACAGTGGGAGGAAAGGCAGAGATGGGGGAGAGACAGAGAGAGAGAGAGAGACAGAAAGAGAGGAGAAAGAGAAAGAGACAGAGAGACAGGGGAGGAGGAAGGGAGAGAGAGAGACAGAGAATAGTCTTCATTTAGGCAACTTGAATCCAAGAGTACATTGTTTCTCTAAGTTATTTGCTTGGGGATGAGACACTAATGCTCAGAGAGTATGTGTCAAGATTGTTTTCCCTCTTCCTTGCCAGTTGTTTTAGTAATCACAATTAAATGTTTTACTTTTGAAATGCAGGTTATTTTGCTCGATAGACTAGCTTGGTGCAAACTTGAGTTTAGAGGGTCTTAGAGATTGCCCAGTGGAGCTGGGAGGGGGGCTTGAGCCAAATGAGGCACACATCATTCATCATGTCTGACGCTGAACTCAGTGTTCATTCAGATCTAGAGGTGAGGTGGTTTTGGACTATAGGCTTTTGTCTGCTTTCTGGTAAATAATCATGTAGTGGCCAAAGTTCTGCTTTGTCACATGCTTCTTTGTCTTTAGAGAAGACAGAGCTTCTCACCAGGCCGGCACTCAAAGCCTTTTCAGTTTAGTAGAACATGCTGGATCTTGCTTTTCTGGCATTGCCTTCAAGAACCCAGGGCCACCTCCAAGCCACAATGAGGCCTTGTTGTGAACTTTTGTGGAAAAAAATTCACATTCATGGAACAACTTCTAAATGATGCTGGTCAGTGCAGAATCAAATGCCAAACAGGGAGAGAGCAGCGTGGGCTAAAATGGTTATAGAATTCCTCCTAGAAGAGGTGGGATTTTTGCGCTCCGCTTTGAAACACGGTCAGATTTGGATCGGGAAAGAGGAGAAAGGACATTTCACGTAGAGGACTCAAATATTCTATGTGCAAAGGTCCTTGCTAGCTCTCCTGCTTTGTCTTCAATGCCAGGTTTCCCTCCAGCTCTGAAAGCGCTTGCTGTCCTGTTCTTTTCTAGCTCTGACCTCCTGTGTCCTGGGTCCTCAAGGCCCATCTCACCCCTCAGCTCCATTTCTGCATCTCCAACTGCCTTCTGAATATCTCCGGGACGTCCTGCTTCAGGCTTCAAACTCAGCAGGACCACAGTTGCATTTGTGTCCAACTACTCAATCCTGACATTTCCCTCCTTCCCCGTTTCTGTGATGGCACCACCATCTCCCAGGCTCAAAGTTTCAAATCTCAGGATCGTGTTTGATTCTTCTCTTTCTCTCCCCACACGTAATGAATAACTATTCACTGGTTGTTCAGTCATTTGTTGTGACCCCATTTGGGGTTTATTGGCAAAGACACTGGAGTGGTTTGCCATTTCCTTCTCCAGCTTATTTTACAGATGAGGAAACTGAGGCAAACAGGGTTAAGTGACTTGCCCAGGGTCACACAGCTAGTAAGCATCTAAGGCCAGGTTTGAACTCAGGAAGATGAGTCTTTCTGACTTCAGCTCTGGCACTCAATTCGCTGTGCTACCTAGCTGCCCATCAATAAACAATGATAGCTAAAGTTTATTAAGCACTTATTATATGCTGGGCACTGTGCTAAGCATTTACAATTATTATCTCTTATTTAATCCTCACAACCTAGGGAGATAGGTGCTGAGATCATTCCCATTTTACAGATGAGGAAACTGAGGCAGACATTAAATGACATGTACACAGTCACATAGCTAGATTTGAACTCAGGTCTTCCTGACTCTAGATCCAGTGCTCTATCCATTGTGCCATCAATCTCCCCCTGTTGAAGTCCTCTTTCCTGCTACTTCTTCCATTTAGCCATCCCTCATTTTCTGGGCCGCTCCCCCCCTCCCCCCTGGCTGAAGGTGCTCATTCTTCCTTCTGTCCAATGAGAGGCAGGGTTTTATGGAAAGTACACTGGCCTTGGAGTTAAGAAGGACCTGAGTTTGAATCTCGGCTCTGACACTTCTTATCTGCATAACCATGAGCAGGCTACCTCTCTGAGTTTTATTTCCTCAGCTATAAGATGGGATACCAGTACCTATAAGCATTACCCATGTGGGGTTGTGAGGACTAAGTGAGAAAATTTATATAAATGTCATTTATTTTGGGGGCAGCTAGGTGGCATCATGGATAGAGTGCTGGACCTGGAGTCAGGAAGTCTCATCTTCCTGAGTTCAAATCTGCCCTCAGACACTTACTAGCTGTGTGACCCTGGGCGAGTCACTTAACTTCTGCCTGCCTCAGTTTCCTCTTCTGTAAAATGACCTGGAGAAGGAAATGGCAAAGCACTGCAGTATCTTTGTCAAGAAAACCCCAAATGGGGTCACAGAGTCAGACACGACTGAAAAGTGACTAAGCAACATTCATTTTTCTCCATTACTTTGGATCTTTCCTCTTTCCACCTTAACTTGGTGTACCCATTTGGACCCGTCTCATACCCTATCTAGATCACCAGGTCCTAGAGGACAAACCTTAGCAGGAAGGGTCTGACGAGGGCAAGCCCACATCCCAGTGTGCCGGTGACAAGTACAAGCCCATCCCTTCATGATCTGCACTACCTGTTGGCTTTCATTTTTGTGCTTCCCACAATGAGCACAGACAGGAACATGAACTGGGAGTCAGGAAGACCTGGCTTCAAATCCTGCCTCTGGAACTTAGTAGCTTTGTGACTTCAGGCTTTCATTTCCTTCTCTATCTGCAAAATCAGGATAAAGCCCTACCTCACAGGGCTGTGGTAAGGCTCAAATGCCATCACGTATGTAAAACCCTTTGCAAAACTTAATACAGTACATGTGTATAAACTGTCTCAGAATGCTTCCCCTCTTGCGGAGGGCGAAGGAGAAAAATTTGGAACTCAGAATCTGTCAGAACATGAATGTTGAAAATTGTCTTTAAATGTAATTAGAAAAAGTTAAACACTATAATAAAAAAAAATCCTGATAGGGGGAAATGTGATAAATGTCAGTTATTATCATTATAGTAGGCATTTAATAATTTTAATAGGGCAACTACATGGTACAGTGGATACAGTACTGGGCCTAGAGTTAGGAAGACCTGAATACAAATTTGGCCTCGGACTAGCTGTGTGACCTTGGCATGTCACTTAACCTTATTTACCTCAGTTTCCTCATCTGTAAAGATGAGCTAGAGAAGGAAATGGCAAACTACTCCAGAATCTTTGCTAAGAAGACCCCCAAAAAGGGGTCGCTAAGAGTCAGACACGACCGAAAGGCATTTAATGAAGGCCTGTGGCATTGATTGAAATAAGGTCCCTTTCAGCTCCGCCAGTCTAGATCTACATACGTAGCCAATACGAGGTGCTGTTAAATAAAGGAGACTGGAAGAAATGAGGCACAGGCTGGCTGAGTCTGCAGGTTTCCAAGTAATTACTTTTTATTCTGAAACTTGTCAGATTGCTCACACCACGTGGCAAGACTGTAGAGGATTAATGAGAAGCAGCAGCACATGGAACACTGGAGGTGAAAGGGTCCTCAATCTCCTGAGAGAGTTGACATCCCTTTCACAGTGAAGATCTTATCTTCATTAAAAACAAACAAACAAAAACCCCTCACACACCCTCACACACACAGGCACACACACACACACACACAGGCGCACACACACACACACACACACACACACACACACACACACACACACAGAACAGACAGAAGCTAGGAAAGCCCCTCCAGGGATCAGCCACAGCAGTGGAACAGCGAGCTCCACTGGGCATAGGGTGTTTTTTTGGTCCTTTGTCCGAAACAGCATACAAATTTGGGGCTTCCCTGAGGGGGGCAAGAATTTAAAGATAAGAGATACAAGAGTAGAAACAAGCTTCTAGAGCAAGGGGGTAGTGTGCCTTGAGGGAGGTAGGGGGTCCTACTAAGCAGAATGCAGAAGAAACAGCCCAATGTTAGAGCAATGGGACAGAAATAACAGTGGAGAGCATTTTCTTCAGTTTATGTTTTGTGGGGTGAGGGGAGGGAGGGCCTGGGTGTGTGTGATGGTTTCTGAATTTACAGTCTCTGCTTTTCTTTGTCTTTCTTTTTCTCTGCTTTTGTTTTGACAAATTATTGTTCAATTGAAGTACTTCTGGATTTTTTTTTTTTGCTTTCCTTTACACTGGTTTCTCCTTCTCTGGGGAAGACCCCAGGAAATCTCCACCCAGGACCATTCCACTACTTTCTTAAATTCACCATCATTTCCAACATCCTCTGCTCATCCCCTTCCTCTCCCTCGCCCATGGGCCAGGGGCTGATGCCCTGGAGTTAAAAGAACTGCAGAACCTGACTGTGAGTTATTCGGTTTTAAAAATTAGAGTGTGGATCTGAACCAAAAAGGAGGGCCGCCACGTAGGGTGGATCAAAGTGGATTGGAATTGCTCCCCGTACACCATGGAATCAGTAAGCATTGCTGCAGAAGAAAGAAGAAGAAGAAGAAGACTAGCAGAAGTAATTGAGTGAGTGAGCGGCCCTCAGATAGGGTAGGTTAGACAGCCAGAAAGTCACGGCTTCATTTTCCGTTTGGTTTTTAGCACCGTTAATACACACATCTTAGACCTATATTAGCACCTCATCCCCAGGGAGAAAGAACAAACCAACCACACACATTAATTATAAAAGAAAATAGGAAGTCGGGAGGTAAGGAAAGAAAACTTGGGCCACCAGGAAAGAGGCTTCTGGCTTAGATCACCAGGTCCTTGTCGATATCCTCTGCAAAGACAGAAAAAAAGACAGACAGAGTTACGGACAAAAACTGGCATTGATGTGGTCCCTTTCTTTCCAAGAACATGTCTGGGGTTAAGATGAGCCAGGTAAGCTAAAAAAACTTTCCAGTGCATTGAATCTGAAGTTAGGCCCCCAGGTTCATACCCCAGCTCTGCCATTTACTACCTGTGTGACCTTAGGCAAGTTGCTTGACCTTTTAGGGGCTCACTTTCTTTACCTGCATAATGGGAGGCACTAGACCACCTCTAAGGTCCATTCCAGCAGTAAATCTATGATCCCAGTATTTTAAATTGGGAGAAAAAAATCCAAGAGAGTTTCAGAGATCAGCCCAAGGTTACAGTAGAAGGCAGGGAGGAGTGCAGACTCAATGGCCTGGGAACACAACGGTACCCACTGCGCAGCTATCTCACAGATTGAGGTTCAGGAGGAAGGTCTGTAGTGTTTTGAATGATTTCTCAGAAAGCTTCCTCAGTGCTCAATGAACAGTCATGGAATGAGGTGTTTCAGGCTCTCTTGGCACTTGGGAAAGCTTCTATGCCCTTCCACCCACCCCAAAAGGCTGTTACAGTATAGGAAATTCTAAATGTAGAAAGTTAGGGCTCTTCATCTAGTTCAACACCTTCCTTTTAAAGATGAGGAAACAGAGGTGCAGGTGAGGAAAGTGGCTTGCTCAAGGTCACACCGAGTTAAGGGCAAAGACAGGAAGAGAACACAGGTCTCCTGACCTCCAAACCAAAGCTTTTTCCCCTAAACTATTTCTGCCTCAAGGCAGGTTTTCTATGGAGTGTGGGATGCAACCACCCTCCTCTTCATCCTCAGAGGTTTCCCCAGGTGTGGAAGGTGAGCCGAGGGAAGTCAAGCGTGGTCTCAGGCAACCTCTATGATGGGTGTGGGGGAAAGGGGCTGGTGGCCTAGTGACACTCACGATCCTTGATGCCAAAACAGCCGGCCCATTCATCCAGGGCAATGTACTTGTCATTGTCCAGGTCACAGGTTTCAAAGAAGCGAGTGGTGCAATGCTCCATGGGAATGAGCGGGGCCCGAAGTGGGGCCAGTTCAGTGTGGGAGAGGTACCTAGGAGGGAATTGGAAAGGAGAGAAGAGTCAGATGCTGAGGTCCTTTGACCCCGGAAAGGGGGACAAGTGGCAATTTAAGCAAGGAGGTGACTTGTCCGTTAAAGCAGAAAATCATTTGTTTCCCGTATCCTGAGCCATATCACTAGGCTTCACTCCCAGTCTCCCACGCTGTACATCCAAGTTGTCCAGCTCCGCTCCTCTGGAGAATACAGGTAACTGCACTCCACAGAGTGTTCAGAAGTCGCACTTCAGCCAGCAGTTCCTCAGCTTGGGGCAGTGGGATTTGGGGATGACTAGAGGACTCTGACCCCAGCCAAACTAAGAAATGAATTCTAGAAAGCCCTAAGGGGAAGGGAACTAAGACCTGAAAACAAAGGAAGCCAGAGCTGGAAGGACATTTTAATGAACCCCTTTATTTTACACAGCAGGAAACTGAAGCCCAGAGAGAAGGGAAAATGATGTCTTCCAACTCCAAATCCAGGGCTCCTTCCACTGCACTACACTGTCTCTGGTCTGCTATGGATGAGCAACTTACCCATCAATGGGGTGCTGGTCCAGCTGGCCGAACTGCCAGTGCACGGGGAAGATGTACATTTGGTAGTTCTTCTCAAAGTCCCGGGCCAGCAGCTCCACTGGGTGGTCACCAGCTTCCAGGCGCTTCTCGTTCTCATGGATCTTCTTGACCTGTGGAAGCAGGGCCGGGCAGAGGCCTGGGGCTCAGCTGTGGGTATGGTAAGGACTATTATCCCCACTTTACAAATGAGGAAACTGAGGTGAGGTGAATCACTCATGGTCACGTATCAGATTTGAACCCAGCTCTCTCTTGATTCTAGGCCCAGTGTTCTTTTCCCTGATGCTGTTTTCTCTCCAAAGAAGTGAGATGGTTAGGAAGCCTCCCTCTACCCTCCTTCAGAAAGCCAGGGGGACTATCCTGTGAGTAGGGGTGGGGGTGGGGGGGTGTCCCTGGGTTCCAGTGTGGAGAGGGCATCAGTATGAAGAGGCCATTCCCTTGCACATGCACTGAAGCCTAAGCAGAGGGCACTGGAAGCTGGGGCATTTTCATGCCCTCCCACGCCCACGTTCTGGGGGCTCACTCACTTTGAGTTTCTGCTTCTCAGTCAGCAGGTTGTTGTCCTCGTCACGCTCATAAAGGGTGACCAACACGTTCTTCAGCCAGTCACGCATGCGCAGGGGAAACTCGCTCAGCTCAGAGTCCAGGCATGGGGCAATGTCTAGAGTCCAAAAGCAGGGCTGTCAGTCCAAAGCCCAAATCTCCTCAGGTTGCCAGGGATCGTAGATTTCTTGAACACCAGACTCTAGAGCTTCGGTTGCCCTCTTCCATCGCTAACTGGCCCTACATGCCTTGAGCAAGGAGTTTCCTCCTCTATTCAATCTGCTCTAACTCAGAGGATCCCAAAGGTAAAATTACTTAAAAAAAAAAACAACAACCTAGAAAGTCCCATCCAAAAGCCCTCTCCTAAAGTCTCCACTGAACTTCCCAGAGGAGAATGGTTGGCCCCTAGTATGTAGTCTGTATGCTGTGCATGAAAAAGCAGACAGCAGGTATGGTCTTGGCTATAGGTGCACCAGCTAGGAAACTTAGTGACTTCTGTGTGTGAAACAGGGAGAGAAGACTGAAGTTAGGAGGTGGGAGCTGGAGGGACACACTTCTGCAGTGGGATCAGAAGAACCTGCGCACCATCCGGACTCTCTGTGTGTTATAAAAGAACCCAATGCCACTCTGTGATTGGTCCTGGGGGTTAGTTCCCTACTGTAGATCTCGGCCTTGTAGCCATAGAATCACAGAACCCCAAAATCCCAGTGCTAGGAAGGACCTCAGAGGTCCCTGAATCCAAGAACACATGAATCTTTTCTCTTTTTTTTTCCTTTTTAGGCAATTGGGGTTAAGTGACTTGCCCAGTGTCACACACCTCTAAGTGTCAAGTGTTTGGTCTCAGGTCCTCCTGACTTCAGGGCCGGTCCTCCATCCACTGCGACACCTAGCTGCCCCCACATGAATCTTTTCTGCAGTATTCTTTGCCACCCAAAGAAGTTATCCAGTCTCTGCTGAGAACCCTCAGTGAAAGGGGCTCGCTGCCAATCAAGGTAGTGGCCCACCTTTGAGGAGGTCTAATTTTGGGGAGTTTCACTTTACATTAAACTTATCCCTTCTCCACAGGCTGGCCCTTCCAATACTGGAAGAGAGCCACTATGTCTCCTACATGGCTATTCTTCTCCAAGTCACCCATTCCCTTGATGGGAATGATTCCTATAACATGGTTTCCAGTCACCTCCTCCTTATGGTCAGGCTCTGGTCAGGCTCCATTGCTGGCACCCAGAAGTGGACATAAACCTCTAGACAGCATCAACCAAGGCAAAGCAGAACATCAGCTCCCTCCCCCTGGACACTCCACTGCTAATTGCACTTCCTAAGAACTTGTTAGCTTCTTTTTTTTTCTTTTTCCCAGCTGCCAAGTCACACTGCTGATTTAGAGGCAGCCTGCAGTCACCAAAACTTCTTGGGCCTTTTCACACAGACCTAGACAAGCTTCCCTGTTCTGTGCATTGGTGCCAGGTTGGATGGAAATTAAATTCTCTTGTTCATCCCTTACCATGGACCAGAAGAGGAATTCTTGATGTTTTTTGTGTTACAGACTCCTTTAGCAATCAGGGGAAATACATGGTCCCTTTCTAACAGTAATTTTAAAATGCATAAAATACAATACATAGGATTACAGAGGAAATACAGTGAAATATAATCATCAAAATATTAAAAAACCCAACAGTGGCAAGTTCATGGAGTCTAGGTTAAGGATCCCTAGAACAGGGAGCTGGCCCTTGGGGGAGCTCCCTTATGGCAGCTCTTCCCCATAGCAGATGCTTTCTTAGCTCTCACCCTGGTTTTAGTTTCACATTCCTCACACCTATAGCTAGATGCAGGGAAGGAAAATGGCCTTGTTTTCCCGGATACCACTCTGACGTCAGACACGCCTGAAGCAGGTGAGAGCAGTCCCCAGGTGCCACCTGGTGCCAAGATGCCTGCGGCCTACAAGCGGTGGAGGGGAGGGTGTGGGGAAGGCAGGCTAGAACTTGAGGATTTCAGATGATGGAGGGGCAGCCTGCCTGGGCCTGAAGGGCTGAGCCAGCAGGATCTCATGACCCTGCCACTACTTATGTTATCTTGAACATTAAGGAGGCCTTTGAGTATGAAATCCAGGTGCTTCTTCTCCCTGACACCTGCCTTGCCCATATCTGAGCCACAGACATTGCCTAACAATTGGAAGGGACCTTAGAGTTCAGCTAATTCAGACTAGACCTGAAGCATGAACCTCCTGGACCACATCTTTGATAAGAGGTCATCAACTTCTGCTTGAGGTCCCCCAGAGGTAAAGAGCTTACAGCCAGCCAAAGCTGCTGCAATTGTTTAAAAAAAAAAAGTTTTCCCCTTACACTGGACTGAAAGCTCTCTAATCACTTTTTTTTACGCAATTGGGATTAAGTGACTTGCCCAGGGTCACAGAGCTAGTAAGTATCTGAGGCCAGATTTGAACTCAAGTCCTCCTGTCTCCAGAGCCAGTGCTCTATCTATTGTGCCTCCTAGCTGCCCCTTCCTATCACTTTCAACCTTTTCTCCTGTTGTATCTATTCATCCTTCAGGAGCATAGAACATATCTCCATCTTCTTCCACATAATGGCCTCCTGAACACTTGGAGATGCTACGATGTTCCCCTTAACCCTGATTTTCTCCAGGCTAACTCTCCCCAGTTCCTTCACGTGATCCTCTTGGGGCACAATCTCCAGTGCCCTTACTAACTGGTCACCCTCTTGTCCAGCTAGTCAATGACCTTCCTTCAATCTGATACCCAGAAGTGAGCCTCATACTCCAGCGGCAACCTGACCCAGGGCAGAGGACAGCAGGGCCATGCACTACGCCTTGATTAATCAATTAGTCTAAGTTAGCTTTAAGGTTCTTTTTTTTTTTAGCTGTCAGACGACACTGCTGACTTGTATTGAGCTCCCAGTTCACTAAGACCCTCCCCCAGCCCCTCCAAGCCTTTTCCCTTTCTACTGAAGACTAGAAGGAAACGCTCACATTTGCAGGGCCCGATGTAGTCCAGGTGGAGTTTGTGCCCCTTCTTGGTTCCCTCCAGGGTGCATTTGGTGGCAAAAAAGTGGCAGGAGGAGTCGAACGTCTTGTTGTCGTTGCTACAAACCTACGGACAGAGAAAAGGTCGGACAGCTGCATTTCCACTCACTTTCTCTCCTGCTGTTTCATTTGGCCCTCATCACATGCCTGCAAGCGTTACATTCTCTCCATTTTACAGGTGGGAAAGCTAAGGCCCAAAGCCTTGTTTATTCAGAGTTTCTTAGAGTTGGAAGTAACCTTAGAGAGAACCTAGACCAACCTCTAATTGAAAAACAAATCCTACCTACAACACCCAACAACCTATATTTGAATACCTCCAAGGCTGGGGAATCTGTTCCCTCCCGATGCAGTGCATTCCATTCTTGGACAGACAGACCTAAGATTCTTCCACGGAAGGGCACGGCCTTGAATGTAGGGCTCCCAATCCCAAGGCCAGGGATCTTTCCAGAAGATTTGGCTACCCCAGAACCTTGATTTTGTCCCTGAACTGTTTAAGGACCTCCATTTTATAACCATTTCCTGTGTAAGTCTTGGATCTCAACAGACACGATCCTGGTGAGGGAGGAAACTGGTTCTTTTGTACATAAACAGCCTTTGTCCAGGAGGAAGATGACTATTCCAGCAGCATTCCAACTCCACCTGGGGCGTTATTCTTTGTCTCAGCTTTGTTAGAACACTAGTTCTTTCCCTGGAGCTAAAAGGGAGCCTCTTCAGGCTCTCCTCTGGGGCCACCAGGCAGTACGGAAGTCCCCTTCCCTTCCCTTAGTCAATTGAAACAAAGGGTGGGGTTTCCAAAGGATTTTACTAGGTGACAGAAAAAAAGAGGGTAGAATACAAGAACTACCCCGAGAACAGGCTAGCTGAGTTACGTAGCTCTGGGATCTCTTCTAGAGAGCCTCTTGCTGGCTTTACCACATTTAGCTCCTGTCCAAAGTTAGTTCCCTCATGATCCCTCCTACCAGCCTCTAGGGTAGAGGCATCGATGCCATCGATACTCCACTGAGGCTCCATCTACTTTAAAGAGTCACTGGCTCTTTTCTCAACCTTCCCACCCCTAGTCCCTAGAACAGATTCACATTTATCCACCCAAGGTAAGAAAAGGGATATTTATTTTATAAAGTCTTGATAATTCACTGAAGCCAAACTCCCTAGCTTGGTATTCAACATCCTCCACAAACTGACTCCAAATGACCTTTCCAACCTTATCTATCTTCAATGCTTGGCACACACTAGGTGCCTGGCACATAGCAGGCATTTAAGAAATGGTTGTTGACCTGTGACTGATGGAGTGAATGATTTGATAAGAGTCTAGCCCCTTCAGAGTTCTTCCTTATATTGAACCCAATCTGCCTCCCTGAAATCTCCACTCACTAGTCCCAGATCTGCCCCTCAGGGCCAGGGTCCTGGGTGACAGAGAACAGAGAAGGATTTGGCAACCGAACCCCAAGGCGTTGTTGAGTTGCGTCAGTTGCGTCTGACTTTTTGTGATCCCATTTGGGGTTTTCTTGGCAAATTTTCTGCCATTTCCTTCTCTAGCTCATTTTACAGATGAGGAAACTGAGGCACACAGGGTTAAGTGACTTGCCTGGGGTCACACAGATAATAAGTGCTGGAGGCCAGATTTGAACTCAGAATGATGAGTCTTCTGGACTCCAAGTCCAGCACTTTATCCATCATACCACCTGGCTGCCCCACGTTGGGCCAGCAGAAAATCCAGGATGCTTTAAATCCCAGTCCCTCTTTCCCATCATCCCTGGTTCCCTTACCTTCTCAAACTCTCCTACAGGGGCAGGGCAGCTGGTAGGGTCCTGGCACACGCACATGGGAGAGTTGTTCTCATCCAGCTCACAGATCTTGCCATGTTTGCAGTGGTGGTTTTGGCAAGGATCTGGAAAGGGGCAAGTGTATGCATCAGGGCCTCTGGACGTGCTATTGGTGCTGTTAACTTGCCACCCACTGAATACTTTTTTTTTTTTGGTTGGGCAATGGGGGTTAAGTGACTTGGCCAGAGTCACACAGCTAGTAAGTGTTATGTGTCTGAGGCCAGATTTGAACTCAGGTCCTCCTGAATCCAGGGCCAGTGCTCTATCTGCCGCGCCACCTAGCCACCCCCTTGCCACCCACTGAATAAATGCTTTGAGTTATTTACACTGAACCATCTGTATTCCCTCACCCAGGTGTCCCTGGGACATTAGATCTGTGAAATGGCTGGTAGGGGTTAGGGTTAGGTCTGGGGCTGGAGTCAGGGCTCATATGTAACTAGGATTAGGGCTCTGTCTTAGGGTCTGGGTTGGGGCTCAGTTCATGCTAGGGAAGCAGAGGAAGGAGGAAAATAAGGGAAGACTAAAAATAAATACACTATGTGGCCCAGGCCTAAAGGTGAAAGAGTGAGAACCCTAGGGGATTTGAGAGACTATGTCATTTCCTATTGTGAACTTTTCCTTCCTGCTCACTCACAGAACTAATGAGTCTTTCTGATTATAAATAGATCCTCCCAGGCCCTACAGGGTTTCCAGGCCAGTGAGGGTCAGTGCTCATTCCCAGTACCCTGTCTGTAGACGCTAAAGCGAAGGCCTGTTTCTATCTTTTTCCAGAAGTGCCCTGGGGTCTCTAGCTCCCCAAGGACTTTTGTCAAAATTTCCAGTGGGAAATGATTTCACAAGTGCTTAACCTTTCTTCACTCCCACCCCTCAGTCAGGGAAAGTTAAGGAATCTGCCAGGGCCCCCCAATACTTACTTTCGGCTACAACCTCCTCAGTCTCCTCTGCAGGTTCATCAAACTCTCCAACCTCAACCTGGACAGGGTTGGCACCCACAGGCCCCTAGCAGGGAAGAATGACGCGGTTAACCATTGATCAGGACAGGGTTTGGGGTAAGCAGAGAGGGAGAGGAGAATGATGAAAGGGAGAAAAGAGGGAGAGGAGAGGAGAGATTGGGAGAAGAGGAAGAGAGAGGGAGAAAGAGAAGTAGGAGAAAGGGAGGGAAAGAAGACGGGAAGAAGATGGGAGAAGAGAAGAGGTATGGAAAAAAGGTGGAAGGAAGGACAGAAGATGAGAGCAAGGAAAGAAAGAATGGGAACAGAAGAAAGGTGAAGGAGAAGAAAAAAGAAGCCTGGGAGAGGGAAAGCAAAGAAGAGAAGAAAAGGAATGGAAAAAGGAGGATAGGGAGAGAGTTGGAAGGAAGAAAGCAGGAGAAAATAGTATGTGTCAGAGGAGGGATGCAAATGGGTGGAGAGGAGAATTGGCTGGAAAGAAGAAAACTGACAGCAGTGGAAAACGGGAGAGAAAAGAGAAGAGGGAGAACCCATTCAGTAGGTATAGAATAGGGGTGGGGAACCTGCAGCCTCGAGACCATATGTGGCCTTTTAGGTCCTCAAGTGCAGCCCTTCGACTTAATGCAAACTTCATAGAACAAATCACCTTAATAAAAGGATCTGTTCTGTAAAACTGGGACTCCATCAAAAGGCTGCACCCATCGACCTAGAAGGCCACATGGGGCCTTAAGTCTGCAGGTTCCCCACCCCTGGAGAAAATACCATGGAGGGGACTAGGGGAGACCGAATGCAAAGAAGTTTAGAGCCAACACATCGTGAAACCCAGCTCTTTCCAACTTCCCATCCTCTTTCCCCTAGTACAAGCAAAGAGACCACCAAGAGCAGCAAGCAATCCTCTGCCTCTTGCCAAGACTGGCTGATGGATGTGGCAGATACATGGGGACCTGTGTGGTATTACCATCTTCCCAATCATCAAAGAGTTGCTGACATGTATAACCTATATCAAATTGTTTACCATCTCAGGGAGCAGGGAGGGGAAAGGAGGGAGGTAGAGAATTTGGAACTCAAATTTAAAATTAAAAAAATGTTAAAAATTGTTTTTATATATAATTGGGATAAAAATGTATTTTTAAAGAGTTGCTGGACATTCCCCAATTGCTAAATGGTCAGAGGATATGAACAGGCAGTTCTCAGATGAAGAAATTAAAGCCATCTATAGTCATATGAAAAAATGCTCTAAATCACTATTGATTAGAGAAATGCAAATCAAAATAACTCTGAGGTACCACATCACACCTGTCAGATCGGCCCACATGACAAAACAGGAAAATGATAAATGTTGGAGAAAATGTGGGAAAATTGGAACACTAATGCATTGTTGGTGGAGTTATGAAAAAAAAATGGTCTCCATTTTGGAGAGCAATTTGGAACCATGCCCAAAGGGCGATAAAAATGTGCACACCCTTTGATCCCACAATTGCATTTCTAGGGCTATATCCTAAAGAAATCATAAAAATGGGAAAAGGACCCACATGTACAAAAATATTCATAGCAGCTCTTTTGGCGGTAGCTAAGAATTGAAAATTGAGGGGATGCCCATCGATTAGGGAATGGCTGAACAAGCTGTGTTACATGAATGTAATGGAATACTATTGTGCTATAAGAACTGATGAGCAGGTGGACTTCCGAAAAACCTGGAAAGACTTGTATGGACTGATGCTGAGTGAAGTGAGCAGAACCAGTACACAGTACTGGTTGTACACAGTAACAGCCACGCTGTGCGATGACTAACGTTGACAGACTTAGTCCTTCTCAGCAATGCAAGGATCTACTACATCTCAATTTTTTTTTTTTAGGCAATTGGGGGTTAAGTGACTTGCCTAGGGTCACACAGCTAGTAAGCGTCAAGTGTTTGGTCTGAGACTGGATTTGAACTCACGTCCTCCTGACTTCAGGGCTGGTGCTCTGTCCACTGTGCCTCCTAGCTGCCTCCGATCTACTACATCTCCAAAGGTCTCATGATGGAAAATGCTGTCCACATCCAAAGAAAGAACTATGGAGTTTGAATACAGATTGAAGCCTATTTGCTATTTTTTTTCTTCTGTTTTGTTTTGTTTTCTCTTTCTGGTGGTTCCTCCTATTGGTTCTAATTCTTCCTTATAATATCACCAATGTGAAAATATGTACAATAGGAATATATATGTATAGCCTACATCAGATTTCGTGCCGTCTTGAGGAAGGCAGGAAACTCAAATGTTTATGGAAGTGATTGTTGATAAATTAAAATAAATTAATAAAAAAATATAATTAAAAAAATAAAAAAGAGTTCCTGGGCATCTGCTCTGTGGAAGGGCCTGGGATTGATGCTAGATCATAAAGAGGTGAATAAAACCCAGTCCTCCTCAGGTATCTTGTAATCTAGCCAGGGAGTGTGCACATGTGAAAAAAAAAAACAACCAAAAAACTACCAGGCATGATGTGCTAAGTGCCCAGTGAGTGGGGAAGCCAGTAAGTACTGAAGGAATCCTTCAGAGAAGAAAGAGATCCCTATGTGCAAGGAGATTAGGATGGGGGAAAAGACCGAGAAGGGGAGAGGGAAGGAAGATCAGGGAAGCTGCCCAGAGTTGAATTAGGTTTAAATAGTCAGGAGGAGGAAGGGAAGTATAAGCAAAATGGTTTATTCAAAGACCTACGAGAGGAGCGTTAGAGAGAGGAGCAGAGAAGGTGAAGGGGAGTGGACAGAGAGATAAGACTGGAAACGTACAGAGGGTTAGCTTGTGAAGGGCCTTGAATGCTAGGTTAAGGAATGTGGACTTGATTCCACTGGGAGAAGGTTAGGCACTGCAGGTTTCAATGGTGCTGGTGATGAGTACCTGTGTGTTGTGTGCTATATGTATAAGTATATACCTGCGTGTAGTGTGTTTCTCTTTGTGTGCACAAAGGGTATACAAGCACATGTCTCAACAACCGGGAAGGGCAAACGTTTGGGCAACACCCCCTCTTCCTTGAAGAACAGAACCTATAGTCAACTGGATTCCCTCACGAGACTGTAGCCAGCCAGGAAACTGGAGCTAACGTTAGGCAGCTGCATGTGCAACTGGGAAACTGAATCCATACCTCGGTTACCTCGGCGACTGGCTCCTCCACCACTTCGACCTCATCAGGAAGCGCTTCCTGCTGCTGCTGCAAGGGGAGGACAATCAGGGAAACAGGGCCCGTCAACAACATTCAAGTTCACAGCTGGAATCAGTCAGCCGGCCAACACCCTCCCCCAAGGAGATCTGACGCTTAGCACGAACCAAGGGCTAGCATTTCAACTGGGGGATGGGGAACTCAATCTAACTTTAAGGACATCGGGGGAAGAAATCTCTGTTCTGGCCCAAGGCCAGGTAGCCCCTCCTAGGTACAGCTCAGGCTAGCCAAGTCTTCCCCCAAGGCTCCTTTGTAGTCCTTAGTCCCATCTGTGCTTCTCCATACAACATCCTGAATGTGTTGGGGAGTGTCAGGAAGGGGCTGCAGGGACATTACTGACGCTGAATCTGCCTCTGTTCCTTCCTACATGATTGGGGAGAGGTAAGGCTCTAATCAGGGGTGTCTAGGTTGCACAGTGGGTAGAGTATTGGACTTGGAGTCAGGAAGACCTGAGTATGAATTCTGCCTTCAAGACACTTAACTAGCTTTGTGATCCTGGGCAAGTCAGTTAACTTCTCTCTACCTTACTTTATCCATCTATAAAATGAAACTAATAATAGGGTCTACTTCCCAGGGTTGTTACAATGATCAAATAAAGTCACACGTAAAGCAATTTGCAAACCTTAAAAGTGATAAATAGATGCAAGCTGCTAATGAAAGAATGGATTAAAAAGGGCCTTGGAAAGTTAAAAGCACTTTATAGATGTGAAGTGTTCTTCAAAGGGAATTTGTTCCACTGTGACATCCGTATATGTGGGGGTGGGCACTTAAGTCTGACACACCCTTCCTGGGCATTTGGCTTTGAGGATGATGATAGTATGAGGATAAGGAACCTGAGGTCCAAAGAAATGAAGGGACACACATGTCCCAGGGCACATAGCTAGGGAAAGTCAGAGCCAGGACTGGGCCTCAGACGGTCTGCCTCCAAGTCCAGTGACATTTCCAAATGGCCTCTCTTACACCTCCCCCCCCTTCCCATTTGGCCTGTGAGCATCACACCCCTCCCCCCCCCTCACTCCTCACTACTGATATCTGTAGTCTTGAACAGAAATCTGGTTAATCTGCTTTCCTCAGAAGAGAGCCAGTGGATGGGAAAGCACCCTTGGAAACCCATGTGCAGATGGAGAATTATTCTCAAACAGGCACGCCAGGAAAAATCAATCCTCCAGAGACCACTTGAGAATCCACCCTTTAGGAAATAAACAGCCATCAGGCTATTCCTTAGCTCCAGCTGCAGTCACTGCTTTGGCAGGGCTCAGGCACACCAGGTGAGGGCATTTCTGCCATTAAACAGATTAGGAACCTTGGGCCCAGGAAGCTTCAAGTGATTTACCTAAGGCAGGGGTTGGTTCTTAAGCACGAACTTGTTTTATTTTTTAATACTTTAAAACTGTTTTACAATGTAATTGGTTTTCTTGCAATCCTATGTATTTTATACATTTAAAAAAATTATTCTGAGAGGGTTTCCATAGGCTTCATGAGCCTGCCAAAGCACTCTATGACATAAAAAAGGGTAAGAACCCTTGGTGTAAGCGGACACGGAACACTAAGTGACAAAGCTGAGACCAGAACTTATGCTCCCTTACTCTAGGACTCCTTCCACTACACCTCACTGAAACAGAGAGAGAAAGTCAGGAAGACACAGGTTTAAAACTAGCCTCAGACACTACACTGGCCAAGTCACTCAACCTTTCTGTGCCTGTTTCCTCATCTGTAAAATGGGAAGGTTGGATTTTATGGCCTCTGATCCCATGATCCTTCAGTAAAGCACTACCTCGATGCCTCATCACGGTAAGGAGGTGACCCAGGGTACTCCAAGGCTGTACTTATAGAGTGCAAACTCTGGTAGGTTTTACCAAGATGGAAAGGCTTCAAAGTGTGGGCTAAGTGAAGAGCTGTCTGTCATGCAATCTTAGTTAAAAGAGTGTCTTCAATCGCTGGCCACAATGTAATGAATGTTTTGATCACAACAATTCTCAGAGTCTTCAAGGAGCTACTACACTCAGTGGAAGGAGTACTCAGAATGATGAAATCACAGCTCACTGAAGGGCTGAATATATTTAATGCCGTGTGGTATAGTGGATTGGGAGTCAAATCTGGGTTTAAAATCCTGGCTCTGCCACTTGGTACCTGTGTGACCTCTGGCAAAACAACTAGAATCTTTGTTGTGCCTCAGTTCTTCTGTTAAATGAGAGTTGGACTGTGTATCTGATACAGGGTGGTGAAGGGATCCTTCTCTCCAGGGATCTTATGGGAGGGGAGTAGAGGGAGTTGAGATTGGAAGCCCTAAAGCTGATGACAAGCTGATGACAAAGAAAACAGTTATGTGGCTAAGGAGATGTAATACTTACAGGTGCTGCTAGTGCCCTGCCTGCCAGGCAAAGGACAAAGAAAATCCAAGCCCTCATGGTGCTAGCAACCCTGTGTGGGAGAAAGAAAATGAGAATTGAGTCAGCGGGAGATCTTGGGTTGTGGGGGGGTTCTCCTCATTACTGAATCTCCAGCCAGGGAGTACTCAACCAGCCCCTTGCCCCCAGGCACCGTACACAGGAAGAAATCCTCTAGGGGCTTTGGGAAATTCACTTTAATTCAATAATACTGTGGGGGGAATACAGGAAGGGTGGCAGCTTCTATAGCATCTGAGGTTGTCTTCGGCTTAGATTCTACAATTCATTCTTCTCTCTCTTCCCATCTTTCCTCCCCCTCTCTCTTTTCATCTTTCTCTCTCTCTCTCTCTCTCTCTCTCTCTCTCTCTCTCTCTCTCTCTCTCTCTCTCTCTCTCTCTCTTTCATCTCTCCCTCCCTTGTCTCTCTGACTCTCACAATATAATCCTTAAACTTCTCACCTTCTGATTGCCTCCCCTACATACAACTCAAAACTTCACTTCCTTTCTTGAATAGGTATCTTTCTTATGTGTCTTCTCACCTCTCTCACACACATTCTCTTTTCCCATTTTTTGAATGCACATGGACGTTAGTTCCCCTATACTCTCCCTCTCACAAACATACTATATTTTCTTCCTTTTGCACATGCTCATCCTACACGTCTCCACACACATATGATTCATTCTTTCCCTTTCACACAAACTCTAAAATTTTCCCATCTCTTTTCATGCTTTCTTCCCTATACAAATAATCCGTGCAGTCTTGCCCTTAACCACCCCCCCCAGTCTCTTCTCACATATACCACCTTCTTTGAAAATACACAGTTTATTCTTCCCCTCCCTCCTGTCTCAGGATCTGCCTCTTTCACACACCCCCACCACACACACACACACACACACACACACACACACACACACACACACACACACACACACCCCTACATCACTCGCTCACCCTCAACACAAGATGCTGGTCTGCACTAAATCCTGGATTGGCCCATCTCTTCCCAGGAGGTTGTGTTAATCAGAGAAAATGAGATCCAGACCCCAAAACAATGAATACTGGGTTCCTGAAAAATGACCCAAACTTTCTTACAGAGGGAAAAAATGTTCTTGAACTTCCACAGAGACTGTCATGTAACACATCTTGCCTGCATTTAATTTTCTTTTTATCCCCCCCAAGAAAAATGAAGCAACTATTTCCATTTGAGACCTAGAATGTCCTTGGCCCCCACAATAATTCTGAGAGCTCACATTATGTGTCACTTGAAGGTTTTCACAAAGCACATTCCTCCTAACCATGTAAAGACTTAATTCTCTGGAACCCTGGGTTCTAGACTACTGCACATCTTCTTGGGCTTTCTGACCACAGAACTAGCAGAGTGAGGGAGGTCACAGTCACCTCAGAATATAAAGAGTGAAATATTCATTAGCCCTTCATAACTCACATTTCTTATACTCCTTTATGATTCATTGTTTACAAGTTATCTTATGGTAATCCTGTGAGGAAATAAATCAGAGTATTATCATCCCCATTTTACAGAGGCAAAAACTGAGTCCCAGAGAAGTGCCTTATAGAATTTAGAGCAGGAAAGGACCTTAGAAATCACCTGGTCCAAACTCTAGTGGTATATAAACTCTGAGGGCAGGAACTATGTCTAGCCCCAGGACACTGCCTTGTGTATGATAAGCATTTAATAAATATTTGTTAAATGAATGAATTTTATGGATAAGGAAATTGCGGCCCAGAGATGTGAAGTGACTTCCCTAAGCTATTAAGTATGTCATACCCCTATTAAATTGAAGAAGCAGGATCTGAACCCATGTCTTCTGAATCTAGGGCTGGTGGTCTTTACACCATACTGTGCTGCTTCTGCCCTAGCACCACACAGCTGGTATCAGAACAGGGACTTCAAACCCAGGGCTTGCCACTGACTTGCGCTGCCTTTCCAGTCTCCATGTTCATGACTTTACCACACCTCCCACTCCTGCACGTGGATTTAGGACCTGGGGGATGCCCTAAGCCTTCCATTGCCTGGGCCCTGATGACTTAAGATTTCTGGAACCTTCTTTCCCCCTCACACAGATCAAGGCTTGTCTGATCAAGACTCAAGATGGAAAACTTCCCTTCCTCCTGCTAGTTGGCATGTGGCTTCATGCAAATGAATCAGGGTTGTCTGAGTTTGTTTGAAGGCAATCAGTCAGAAACCAGACTTGCAGCTGGAAAAAATCATCCCTGTACCTCCAGGAGAGTCAATTGTGTCATGAGGATGGATCCCAGCCTGGACTGGAAATTTACCATATTGCTTTAAATAAGGGCCACCATCAGACAGAGACTGCATGTCTAAAATGAGCTCTCTTTGAAAGGAAAAATAAATAAACAGATGGTTACGCACTGAAAAATAACAGATTATAGGTGGCAGCCAGAAGTAGGAGGTGGGGTTGGGAGGAAGTACCAGTAATAGGTTACAGGTCTGTGAGCTGGACAGAGTAAATATTTCCTGAGTCTGTTTCTGCGCAGAGGTGTACCTGTGTACCTCTCAGGCCACTGAAAGGGTTTCTCCGTCAGCCAAGAGGGTCTGTCTCAACATCTTCCTGCCATCCTATCTGGACGGCAGCCCTTCCTTTCTCCACAGTCTGGCCAGAAGGGCATTCAAGGCTGTAGACTAGCTTCAAGGCAGAATCCTGATCAACGTTAAAGTACACGGGGACTTGGTTTGGGGCTGAGAGCTGAACGAGCAGGTTTATTTGCTCCCCTCCAACCCCTCCGCAATGAAGCAGTGCTCAGACCTAAGAAAGGATAGGTGGGGGAGTGACTAAGAGTATCTCAAGTCAGGGAAATCTGGGTGAATGGCCAGGATTACAAAGGGACAAGCTACTATATTACCCCTTCCCCTTGGAAGTAAACTTTTGAAACTTGGGTCCTGGATTAGATAGCTGGTCCCATCTCTAAGAAACAAACAAAAATTGTTAAAAGAGAAACAATATGGGGTAGTATAAAGCATGACAGACTTGGAGTTGGAAAACTACAGTCTGAAGCCTGCTTCTGATACTGCATGGCCTTAGACAAATCCCTTCCTCTCTCTGGACAGAAGTTTCCTCTAAATATAAAATAGAGGTGTCTTTGGGACGTCACCTATGGTAGCCATCAAAATTCCTCAGTGGGTTACATGACGCGTTTTTGTATCTTGTTATAGCCTAAATGTTGATCTCTGCCCACTCACAGAAAGGTACACAGTTCAGCAAATGGTCCAATGGTCCTTGCCCAAAAGTAGGGAACTATGAAAGGACCTTTCAAAGCCAACCAAAGTGTCAATACACATGGAAGGCAGTCTGTACCAATGCAAATGTTAACTTACTTCTGCTGCAGGCCAAGTAGAATAAACAAAACAAGAGATGGTAAGAAGGAAGCTTATGAAACAAGCTGTCCTTGTAACACAAGCAAGCTTTGAGAAGTTCCCTAGTCAGTGGCCTCTCCATCAACTGGGCTGCTTCCACAACTGGGACCAGAGAGCAAAGCCAACTGCTTGTTTCACAGAGTATTTTCCTAGGTGCATAGCTATAACCTCTTTCTCCTTTTTCCCTCCTCCCACAACTCCTCCTTGGAGAACTCTTCAGGACCCTTAGGAAACCCTCATGAGACAGCTCCAAAAAAAAGCCACGGCATCCTCACACTCTGCTGTGACAGCCCAGAGGGAGAATGAGGGCTGAATGGAAATGATGGCACCTCTAGAGTCTGAACACAGTGGGCAATAACTCATACATCTCTCCCCACTAGGGTATAACCTAAGTCCAATAGGCCCATGCAAGGCATTTTAGTTCTGGACATGGCCAATGTAAGAATTTGTTTTGCACATTTGTTATAAGAGTTCTGTTTTTCTTCTCTTTTCTTTTTTTCCCAATAGGGCAAGGAAGAGACTGAGGTGGGGAAGTGAGAGAATAAATTCTTGTTAATTGAAAAAAATTGTTTTTTAAAGATAGATGGGTCAAACCTGACCTATTTGTTGTGTCCAACCTTATTAAATAATCCCTCTCATATTTTTGAAGCTCTTTATACTTTTCAACATGTATCTTCATCATCTCATTTGTTCCTCTAATTCTGTGAGGAAAGGGATTATTGTTTCTATTTTACAGATATGGAAATGGATGCTCAGCGAGAGGTAATGTAATCACTTTGTAGGGGTTACGTGGTTAATATTAGAGCTAAACCTAGAACCTAGGTCTTGTGCTTCCCTGTACAACTGGATGCTGCCATTATGCTCCCAGTTCTCTCACACACAAGGACCCATCACAGAACTTCCAAACTGGAAGAGACCTCGGAAGCCATACAGACCAACCTGGACCTGAACAGGAATCCTCATGTTAGCATCCTTGATAGTGATCAACCTATTGCTTAAATAGCTCCAGTGATGGGAAACTCACTACTTTGAAAGGAATACCATTCCACTTTCGGACAGGTCTAATTGTGAGAAAGCTTTTCCTAATAGGGAATTGAAATCTGCTTCCCTGAAACCATTACCCCACCAGTCTCAGCTCTGCCTTCTGGGGCCAAGAAAAACAAGTCTAATCCCTCTTCCCCATGACAGTCCTTCAGACATTCAAAGATAAGAATCATCTGTCTTCCCTTCTCTAGGTTACACATCCTCTATCTCTCTCATGCACGAGCTGAACATTTCTTCAAGGTCAGAGAACAGTCCTGCTGTGGGCCCTGGTAATGTTAGATGTGGACCTATGCTCTGGTGCCATGTCTGTCACTGACTGATTGTGTGACCTTCTACAGATCATTCCTCCTTTCTGGGTCACTGTTCTCCATCTATCGGTCTAAGATCCTTAAGGGAAGGGGACTTTGTAAGTTTTGTCTTTGTATCCCTTGGATGAAGCAGTGCTTTGAACATAATAGATGCTTAATAAGTGCTCAGTGAATTGGACTAAACTGAATTGAGTTAAACTGGATTGAACTGAGGAGTCTGACAGAGGTTAGAAGCCGATGGAAGGGAGGCATACTCTGACACACCACTGCCAGGCATTTCCTTTGGCA